TGCTGGTCTGAGTGGATCAGACACAGCAGTGCTTCTGGAGTTTTTAAACACAGGTAGCATCCTGTGACCACTGATGAAGGACTAGAGGATGACCAACACAAACTGTGCAGCAGCAGATGAGCTATCGTCTCTGACTTTACATCTACAAGGTGGACTGACAAGGCAGGAGTGTCTAATAGAGTGGACAGTGAGTGGACACAGTGTTTAAAATATATAGATTGGGCTCAATGTTTATAAAGGAGAAAACAAGGTCACTGTGTGAGTAAAGCTAAAATGTAGTGAAAATCACAGGCCAAGGCTGCATTTTTGCAGCATACACACAATTTATTTTATCACTAATCTTCACAGAAGTCCAGACCTCAACACCACTGAATGTGTTTGATTACTTCAGAAAATGATCAACCAGCTTCTAAGACTGAACTTTGGAGGTGTGTCTGCAGATTCTTTGAGGAGCTGAAAGTGAGTCTCCTGAACAGAATGGAAGCTGGAATGAAGGTAAAGAGAGACACACTGAACACGGAAAATGTATATTTAGTTATTGAGGTTTCTGTGTAACTTCATGTTAAATATATACCTTTTCTGTTTTTTTCCATTTTGACTGAAAATTAAATAAATGAAAGGTGGTCTCAGCATCGTACGCAGTCACTAGTCATGAGCTGATGACATGGTCACAACATGCAGGGGGTCACAGACAAGTAAAGATGTAGGGACCACCAGAGTGAAGAATACATTTTAAAGACAAAACAGTCTGTTTCATATGGAAGGAGACCATCACAGAATCAAAAAACTCAAAATTCATCAACATAAAAAGCACACAATGTCCACATACTGACCACATGTGAAAACATCAGGCTAACAAGCTAGCTGTTTTGCCCTTTTAGCCCTCGGACCACCACAAACATTACACAAGACAAAAGTCTGTGCACCCCCAGCACAGAGGAAGTGAAGCAGCTTTCAAAACAGTTCCAGTTACTCAATCTAATACAGTATAATACAGATTAGAGCTTCTATTTAACTCACCAGATACCAAAAAAAAGTGTAAACAGACAATTACAGTATAACAATTATCATTTAATAACTTCTTGTTGTTCCCAATTTAAAAATATTGAATTAAATCTCTAAAAATGCATGTTGGAATCTAGTTTATGATAATTAAATCTACACTGTATGAGTTATTATTGCATACACAATTACAGTTACTGTTAATATGTCACTCTCAAACTATTGAACAGTAGCGTAACTTAGTACGTATTCAACTGTTCTACAATAATTGCGTAATTTGAACCGAATATACAGCAAAACAACAAAAACTGTAGACTTTTAACGGTTAAACGTCACCTGCAACATCACACACTCCAACTATTAGTCAGCAAATTTAACAACTCACAAAGCTACCCAGCATTTTGGGGAAAATAAGGAGCCCAAAATAAACAGAACAGGCAAAGAAACATCTAACAGACTGTCACACTGTGCAAACACACCATAATACTCTTTCAATAATAGTACTAACGGAGCGCGGTGTGAATCAGTGAAGCGTATCCAGTTTCACTGATTCAGGGCATCAAACAAAAGCCGGCGTAACCGGACGCCATGCGCGTCTGGACTGGAGTTCCAGTAAACATCAGCGCTTCGCAGTCATGACCTCAAAGACAATTACACAAGCACGCGACGGCACGACCTTACGCACTGCTACGGTCACTTACAGAGACGCAGAAAAGTGCCCACACACACTCGGCAGGACGGCACGGGGAGGAAAACTCACCTGCAGAGCAGCCTTGGAGCGAGCGGAGAGAAAGAAAGACAGCAGGTTAGAAATGCTGATACATAACGGCGGGAGAGGGAGAGAGAGAGAGAGAGAGAGAAAGAGAGAGAGAGAGAGTGAGAGAGTGAGGGAGGGAGGGTGAAAGAAAACAAAAATAGCACGCTGCTGAAAGCCGGGTCGGCGAAACAGAAGCGTCCCAACATCAGCACTTAAGGACGAGTCAGACTGGCGCTAATGGACGAAGACACGTTTACCCCGTTTTAACCCTTTTAACCGTCTCACTGGAGAGACATTTGCATTGTTTTCCCTCTTTAACTGATTAAAGTCTGTCCAAAGAGAAGCTGGTGAGCAGCATGTCCATGTTTTTCATATTACAATGGATCAGTATGTGGAATCTGAGCTCTCTACACTGTTAGAAATAAAGATTCTGTTCAGGTCCATTTTTCATTCATCAAGGTACAAACAATGTAAATGTTCCCTCAAAGCTCCAACAGTGGTTTTAAGGTCTGACTGTGATCCTTAAATAAGTTTTTCCAGGTGAAAAGTTCGTATTTGTACCTTTTCATAACCGAATGTTTTAAACAGAACAGTAAAATAAAAGCCTGGAGACGAGACGGGGTGTGTGGAGTCAGTACAGCTTAGAACATATCATTTCAGTGGATTATGGTTCAGTTATGTTCCCTGACTAAAGGTACTGAGATGGACCACTGAGGGTTCCACCCCAGTGACAAGAGGGGAACTGACCCAGTCACAGTTTACCACCTTTTTTTCTGAGGGTGTATCTAAAAACTGTATCGAAAAGGTTCTATAGCTTATAACAATAGCAGAATCTTTGTTGGTGTTATAGTTGGTGTTGAGCTGAGATGTTCTTGAAAGAACCAAGCACATCAACATACCATCCTAGTTTAGTTTCTGGTGCATTTACTGGTGGTGTAATTAATAGCATTTGGTAACTTCATCTTCATCTGGTAGAGTAAAAACTTCACTACATTGGCGTTAGCTTCAGCTGCTAGTGCTACCAAAGAGGATACTTCACTGGGGTTAATACTACTTATAGCAGCTCTACCTGCTTTTGAAAGCTATAAAATGGAAAAATGACTACATCTGATAATACAGCCTCAAACACAAGAAGATTACTGTCATTGCCAATGTTTTATCTGTTTGTTTTGTTTGTATTTATTGTAAATTGTACTGTAAACTGAGCTGAATGGATGAGAGTTATTCACCCTAAAGTATATCCAACCTTTACGTTTATAAAACCGGTTGAAATTTCTCCTCAGGTAGGAGTTTTGTCTGACTGGTACACTCAACCTTTGGGATGAGTTGGAGTGGTCCAGAACTGATCACCTGACCTCACCAATGCTCAATCAAATCCTCACAGCAATGTTCCAACATCTAGTGTAAAGAGTAGGGGGTGTCACTGCAGCAAAGGGGGACAAACTCACTATGAATGCCCTTCATTTCAGAAGAAACACTGGTGTCTACGAACCTGTGGACGTATACTGAGGGTAATTACGTGTACACAGGAACTCACTGACATCCAAACAGGCCGCTAAACTGAGGTCACTGCTCTGCTCTCCTCAGTTACTGAGCTTGTGCTTCCGACCCCAAACTGAATAATGAATGACAGTGACGGCATTGCACACCTGCGGAGATCCGCTTACAGCATCCCTCTCCTCCCTCACTGTAACCATTAACAACACTGAACCGTACGCACAAGCCGAAAGAACAAAAACAAAAAAAAACAAAAGAGAACAAACAAACATCAGCAACGTCATAAACATGACCCGAGACGTCAAACCAGGACGATTAAGCACACACTTAACTTTCAATGAGATATTATGAAATCTCTTATTTCCAAAGTTAAATAAATGAATTCTGTGTGACCTGGAAACCCTCTGAATAACTTTGAATTTAATCAATAATCTGAAACTGCAGCCTATTATTCAGCTAGCAATTAATCATTTAGTAATTACTATGAATTACACAGTAACTACTATGTATTATGCAGTAACTACCATGAAATACCCAGTAACTACAATCAATTATTCAGTAACTACAATGAATTATTCAGTAACTACTATTAATTGTTCAGTAACTATGATTAATTATTCAGTAACTACTATGAATTATTCAGTAACTACTATTAATTGTTCAATAACTATGATTAATTGTTCAATAACTATGATTAATTATTCAGTAACTACTATTAATTGTTCAATAACTATGATTAATTATTCAGTAACTACTATGAATTATTCAGTAACTACTATTAATTGTTCAATAACTATGATTAATTGTTCAATAACTATGATTAATTATTCAATAACTACTATTAATTGTTCAATAACTATGATTAATTATTCAGGAACTACTATGAATTATTCAGTAACTACTATTAATTGTTCAATAACTATGATTAATTGTTCAATAACTACTATGAATTATTCAGTAACTAGTATTAATTAATCAGTAACTAGTATTAATTGTTCAATAACTATGATTAATTATTCAATAACTACTATGAATTATTCAGTAACTAGTATTAATTAATCAGTAACTAGTCTTAATTGTTCAGTAACTATGATTAATTATTCAGTAACTACTATGAATTATTCAGTAACTACTATTAATTGTTCAATAACTATGATTAATTGTTCAATAACTATGATTAATTATTCAGTAACTACTATTAATTGTTCAATAACTATGATTAATTATTCAGTAACTACTATGAATTATTCAGTAACTACTATTAATTGTTCAATAACTATGATTAATTGTTCAATAACTATGATTAATTGTTCAATAACTACTATGAATTATTCAGTAACTAGTATTAATTAATCAGTAACTAGTATTAATTGTTCAATAACTATGATTAATTATTCAATAACTACTATGAATTATTCAGTAACTAGTATTAATTAATCAGTAACTAGTATTAATTGTTCAGTAACTATGATTAATTAATCAGTAACTAGTATTAATTAATCAGTAACTACTATGAGTTAAACTGGTGGGGTGTAAACCTAAAGAGGATCTCTGGAGTTTTTATGTAGCAGTCATGAGGTTAACTGGCTATTCGCCCATCAGAGCTCTGCGCCCTTTCAACATCACACTGTAGCAGCTACTTAAAGGAACAGAGATGGAGGGATGGATGGACAGACAGGGAGAGAGAGAGCAAGAGTAAAAGATAAAAGAACGAAGACTAAGGCAGCAGCACAGTCTTTTTTACCTTTTGCTGAATCGTGGAGTGCTTCATTTCCATATCCCTCTTCTCCTTCGCCGCATCCACCACCAGCTGATCTAACTGAAAGACAAACATCTTGGGTTAGAACTGTGAGAGAAAGAGCGAGAGATACAGAGAGAGAGGAAGAGAGAGAGACACAGACCTATATGCTGGGTATACAGTGAAATGGCCTTTAGCCTTTTCAGGCTTGAACACGTGGAAAGTTGCTCCAAATCATTATATACTATGAAACTGTGCTCAAATTCAGCTAAACTTCACACACCAACTCACACAAACTCACCAAAGACACATTTCACCCACTTTTTACAGTCTGTACGGAAAAACGTCCAGGTCAAACTTACGGCTGGGCTGCACGTTGGGCTGCATTCATATAATGATTAATAAGAACTATGGTAGTTACAGTTTAAGCCCTTCTACTCTACTCAGTAACGTAATGACCATATGATCACAGCAGCCATGTTTCCATACTTTTACAAAGAGATAATTAATTTTAACCTTCTCTTACAAACATATACTGACCCCAAAAGTATTTGGACACCTTAACTATTTAACCACTTTACTAAGTTCTTTAGGTTACTTCATAAAATGTTTAACAAAATGATATTTTTTCAAGGAAAAGCACTTTCAGCAAATCAAACTGATGGTGGAGAAGAGCTCTAACCGACTGTACTAAGGCTGCTGTAAAGCACAGTCAAAGTTTTTCTCACAACGCTGGTACTGAGTTTGTGTTCACAAAGACATTTTGGATGTAATGCGGAAAAGAAACTGCTAAAAAGATCATCCGCAACACAACGACAGTCTTGGAAAGAGCTGTTTTTATTCAGTAACTACTATGAATTCAATAAATTACTCAGTAACTACTACGAATGATTCAGTAACTATTATGAATTACTCAGTAATTATGATGAATAATTCATTAACTACTATACATTATACAGTAACTACTATAGATTACACAGTATCTACTATGAATGATTCAGTAACTGCTATAAATTACACAGTAACTACTATAAACTACACAGTAACTACTAAGAATAATTAAGCACCTACTATAAATTACACAGTAACTACTACAAATTACACAGTAACTACTATAAATTTTACAGTAACTACTTTAAATTACACAGTAACTACTTTAAATTACACAGTAACTACTTTAAATTACACAGTAACTACTATGAATAATTCAGTAATTACTATAAATTGAACAGTAACTACTATAAATAATTCAGTAACTACTGTGAAATACAGTAACGTCTATGAAAAATTCAGGAACTACTAAGAATTACACAGTAACTACTATAAACTACACAGTAACTACTACAAACTACACAGTAACTACTATAAAGTACATAGTAACTACTATAAATTAAACAGTAATTACTATGAATAATTCATTAACTACTATGAATTACGCAGTAACTACAGGCTGAAAATTGATGTAAATCAAACATACTTAAAAATGACGGTTCTTCTAGGGTTCTTTAGTGAAGAAAATGGTTTTATACAGAACCTTTCTGAAAAGGGCTCTGTATAGCACCAAAAAAGGGTTCCTATATAGTAACAAGTCTATGTAGAATCATTGCCTTTAATAAAAAAACCTCTGAAGAACCATAATTTTTAAGTGTGTTGTTACAACATAAGAACGTTTTTGGTGCTATATAGGACACTTTTCGAAAAGGTTCTATATAGAACAATCTACAGCACATTCTCCATCAATTTGAAGAACCATTTCACCATGCAAAGAACCTTTTAATTATGCAAAGTGTTCTTTGAGTGTCCATGGTTCTATACAGAACCATTTTCTTTACTAAAGAACTCTTGAAGAACCTTCTTTTAAGTGTGCGAGCTACAGAGACTTCACACAAATTGTTCTTCATAGTTTAGTTATTTGTTTTTGCTTTCTAGTAACCAAAGCAACCAAACCAAACGCGTGTTGTAAAAGCTGACTGCACATTACAGCAGCGGCAAATTCATCCCTTGATGAGCCGACGGACTCTTATAAAGCTCTAAAGGGACGTTTTGTTTTGCTGGATCGGGAAGCTGGCGATAAGATCATGGGAAACGTTTTCCCCTCCGCTCTGCAGCTGAATTCCCACTGCAGTTTGTGGAGTTTAGGGCTGAAACAGCAGCGACAGTGACGGAGACGGCCGTGTGAACGTTAATCACCACAGCTACTGACCACTACAGACGAGCCTCACACGGCACCAACAACATGATACTCATCAGCAGCACGGAGGGAAGCAAAACAGTCCTCACTGACAGAAAAAGGAAGGCAAAAGAATGAAAAATCACAAGTTAGCTTTAAAAATGTTCTTAATACATGAACATACTTTCATTGTTGGTCTTCTATAGCTGACCCCATTAAAGCCTTAAAGCCTAAAGAAAGCTTTTTGGTGCTACTTAGAACCCTTTTCAAAAAGGTTCTATATAGAAGCATCTACAGCACATACTCCACCAATCTGAGGAACCATTTTACCCTGCAAAGAACCCTTTAATCATGGAAAGGGTTCCTTGAGCATTCATGGTTCTATGTAGAACCATTACCTTTACTAAATAACCCTTGAAGAACCATCATTTTTAAGTGTGTTGTTACAATAGGTGAACTCTTTTTGGTGCTATATAGAACCCTTTTCAAAAAAGGTTCTATATAGAACAATCTGCAGTGCATCTGAAGAACGCTTTCACGATGCAAAGAACCCTTTAATCATGCAAAGGGTTCCTTGAGTGTTCATGGCTCTATACAGAACCATTTTCTTTACTAAAGAACTATTGAAGGAACATCATTTTTAAGTGTGTTGTTACAATATAAAAACCTTTTTTTAGTGCTACACAAAACCCTTTTCAAAAAGGTTCTATATAGAACAATCTACAGCACGTTAGAGCCTAAAGCAGGTTTATTTACAGGAAATCAATATCACGTAAATATTTGTCCCCATATTTGTGACAAAATTTAATTTCAAAAGAAATCAGTGAGAGTGTTTACATCCAGTTAATAATCCGATAACTGCACAGATTTTGTCAGTAATCCGATCAACACGTTTACATGCACTTGAATAATCAGATAATGGGGAAACTCCAGGTCAATATGCGTCTGACAGTAATCAGATTTCCAGATTTTCCAATAAACTCACAGAAGAAGACGCAACGTAAATATAATTTAAAACTCAAACTTCATACTGCGGCTAAGCATTTACCTTAAAATATGAACATCATTTAAAAGATGAAGAATATTTAAATCCTTCATTTCATCAAGCATGTAGTCGATGTCTGTTTTCGCGCATGCGCAGACTGAGAAATCCGAAAGAAATCAGAGTAAGAGTTTACACGCACTGAGAAATCTGATTACTGAGCTAATATCCAGCCTCTTTATTGGATTTGTCGATCTTACTCCAATCTAAGAAATCAGAGTCTGCTGTTTACATGACCATTTGAATAATCAGATGCAGAAATCCGATTATGATCGGATTATTGAGTGCATGTAAACACGCTCGGTGTGTCTTCAGATGCAGTGCATATGGTCTCTAAACTTGGAGCACAAGTATGAAGAAAATTCTCAAATTTGGAAAACATTCCACTGATTTTTCAACATTTCTGCATAATTCAGGGTGTGAGATGTAATCAGAGAGATTCAGAGAGGTTTGGTGTGAAACGGTTCAGATGTCTTTACAGTGGTGGTGATAGGAACCAGGGGTCGCCATGACTGCAACACAAATATAGACATTTTATTTACTATCCAGAACCACCAGTGAACCTACACGAGTCTTCTGAGTTTATATGGAATGTTGATGATGGAAAATAGTGGAAAATCTGAAATAATAAGTTTTGTTTTATTGACCCCTCTCCACCATGAACGGATAAAAAAATGTATGTTTTAGGCAAACACTATCGTAAAACCATCAGGCAGCGTATTAATAACCATTTCATGTAGTAACTTTCTGTGAGGGAGCTTTTAGAGGTGGACGCCTGGTTCCTATCACCACCACTGTGAACAGTTCTGACTCGGTAAGTCAAACCACTCTGAATAACTTTGTTTACATCTTAATGACTCAACTGTGCAGAAATTATGAAAAATTAGTGGAATTTCCCTTCAAGCAGCAGCTAATATTGGTGTATTTTTCTTAAAAATCCTACAAATTAGAATGAGTTTTTTTAATTTAATATTTCATGATTAGAGATGGCACAATACCACTCTGTACTCTGATGCCGATACTGATATTAAAAGCCTGAGTATCGACTGATACCGATATCAATCTGATATTTCTTCTTTATAAATGAGCACCTTTAAAAATCAGCTGTTATTAATCAAAACACTTCAGATTTCAGAGAGCACGGTACCACTTTTTCTTTTCCAATTAAACATCGATACTGAAACCTTGAATATCAGCTGATACCAAAACCAATCAGATACGTTTTATTTAAAAAAAACTACTAAGCTTAAAAATTACCTCCTTTAACTGAAGCCATTCACTTACAGTGATGATCTAAAAGTAGTTTATGATGCTGAAACTACTCAAACACTCTACTCCCCCACAGGAAGAACTACCCAGCTAAAAACATCACTGAGAGAGAGATATTTCAGGATACATTCGTTACCGCATTGGATCACTTTCCCTCTTTTTTCTCTCCGATCCGGCGTTTTCTGCTGACATCAGCCTCATAATGATCCCTGTTATTTCAAATGGATCAAACTTTACAGCTAAAAGGTGAGTTATTATTATTTATCATAAAGTCAGTCTTTTGGTCCCTGATTTTTAACAACAGCACAGAAAATCCATATTTAATTGTAGATAAAAAGGAAAAAAGTTTCATTAGATGTAATTAGATGTTAATCCAAGGTAGAACCTTACACAGATACATCACTTTAGACCAGGGCTGACCAAAGCAGGGCCCGCGGGCCAGTGTTGGCCCACAAGGACGTTTGATTTAGCCTGCCAGAAAGCGGCTAAATCCACCCCCCCCGACCCCCATCCCCCCTAACTCCCTCAGCCAATGGTAGAACTTCATAGGTTTTCTTTTCTTTTTATTTTTGAAGTACTTTCAGTAACAAAGCAGAGTGTGACTTCATATAAATGTCACTGACTGCAATTCAAATATAACAATACGTGTAATTACACTCGTGAAAGATGGTTCTTCAAGGGTTCTTTCTTCAAGAAAACTCAAAGAACCCGTTGTATGATCAAAGGGCTCTTTGCATCGTGAAAGCGTTCTTCAGATTGATGGAGAATGTGCAACAGATAGATATAGAACCAATTTGAAAAGGGTTCTATATAGCACCAAAAAAGGGCTCCACTCTTGTTACAAGCCAAAGAACCCTTTTTTGGTACTATATAGAACCATTTTTGCTAAGTGTAGCAGTTACAAGCTAATCTAGCAAAACAGGTGGTGGTACATTCTTAAAGATGGTTCTTCAAGGGTTCTTTTATCAAGAAAATGGTTCTATAAAGTACCATGAACACACTTGCATGATTAATGGGTTCTTCGCATCATAAAAGGGTTCTTCAGAATGTGCTGTAGATGGTTCTTTGTGGAACCTTTTTGGAAAGGGTTCTATACAGCACCCAAAAGGGTTCTACTATTGTTACAATGAACCTATTTTGGGTGCTATATAGACCCCTTTTCAAAAAGGTTCTATATAGCACCAAAAAGGGCTCCACTCTTGTTACAAGCCAAAGAACCCTTTTCTGGTACTATATAGAACCATTTTTGCTAAGTGTAGCAGTTACAAGCTAATCTAGCAAAACAGGTGGTGGTACAATCCTAAAGATGGTTCTACAAGGGTTCTTTATTAAAGAAAACAGTTCTATAAAGAACCCGTTGCATGATTAAAGGGCTCTTTGCATCGTGAAAGTGTTCCTTGGAATGTGCTTTAGAAAAGGGTTCTATACAGCACCCAAAAGGGTTCTTCTATTGTTACAATGAACCTATTTTGGGTGCTATTTTCAAAAAGGTACAGCACATTGTACATACATCCGAAGAAAGAAGAACCTTTCATGATGCAAAGATGCTTTAATCATAGAAAAGGTTCTATGAGTGTTTATGGTTCTTTACAGAACCATTTTCTTTAGTAAAGAACCCTTGAAAAAACATCTTTTCACTGAATTAAAAAGCAAAGCACTGTTCCACATACATAAGGAAACCACGTTCTCCAGATATGTATATATATATATATTTATTTCTGGCCGTCGACCCACCACAAACATTACATTCTGGCCCAGAAAACTGTTTTACACCATTAGTTCTGTGGCATTTTTCCTCATCCTGCTACATTTAGTTGTTGAACATGAATGGATTAATAATAACTCATTCATTTTGCACTGTTTTCCATTTAGGCACTGAATAATAAGCCTTATGAAGTGAACAAACACAGCAGCTTAAAAATTCAAACGCAGCACATCATTAGCAGCTGATTTACAAACTCAACAGACCTCCTGGCAGCTCCTCCACGCCCGCCTGCAAAGCCTCTCCAGCTTCTGCAGCTTCATGATTAAATCCCCAAAAGACCGAGTCCCGATCTGCGAGCGGCCGGACTCCCGCTGTACACACTCCTCACTCACTCAGCCTAACTCTCACACTGAGGCTCTGCCGTCCTCTAACCTCCTCCGGGAAAACCCTGCTGGTCCTCCACTTCCTCTTTCCATCATTGGCCAGATGCTAGCACGGCCTTTTTTTGTCTGGGCTCTGTCAGTTCCTACAGAGGGTTGGCACCCCAGCAATCCCCGGGGGGCCAAAATCCATCTCCTCGTGACCGGGACAGGATGAAAAAGGAAAGTAGAACAACAACACTGGACCACTGGCCTGAGTCCACCACACCCGCTCAATATAAACAAGTAAATAAGGAGCGTAAGGAGGGGTGCGGTGTGTAGCATTTATCTCCTTAGACTCCAAGGACCTGCTGGCATGTCCACACTCCAGTTCCTCACTCACAACTGCACAAGTTATGCATTCATATGCATGAATAGTTCATAGCAGTTACTGAATAATTCATAGTAGATACTGAATAATTCATAGTAGGTACTGAATAATTCATAGTAAATACTGAATAATTCATAGTAGGTACTGAATAATTCATAGTAGATACTGAATAATTCATAGTAGGTACTGAATAATTCATAGTAGATACTGAATAATTCACAGCAGTTACTGAATAATTCATAGTAGATACTGAATAATTCATAGTAGGTACTGAATAATTCATAGTAGATACTGAATACTTTATAGCAGATACTGAATACTTCATAGTAGATACTAAATAATTCCTGGTAGTTATTGAATGTGTTGCAGTTAATGGATGTTTTAAGGTACTGAATAATTTACAGTATTTACTGTATAATTAATAGTAGTTTATGATCATTTTTAATAGTTTTTCAAAAATTCATAGCAGTTTCTTATAATTATAGTAGTTAAATAATTAAGAAATTATAGTAGACACTGAGTAATTCAGCAGTTACTGATAAATTACACTACTTAGTGAATAAAGAAAGTTAGTTACTTGATAACTTATGGTAGCTTCTGGATGATCTATAAACTTTCTGATAATTGTATAGTAGTTACTGAATCATTCATAGTAGTTTCTGCATGTTTCATTGTAGATACTGATAACTTTACAGGAGTTAATTAATAGGTAATTAATAGACTGTATAAAAGTGACTGAATAATTCATAGCGCTTCATACATATTTCAGAGTAGTTACTGAGTTATACACCTACAGATTAATAACTGATTAATGCTGTACCACTGATGTAATTAAATGTCTATGCAAGCACAACAAACTTTATGAGACTAACAGTTTACAATGCCCTCTGGAATTATTGGCCCCCCGGTAAGGATGAGCCCTCAGTCTTTACCATGCAGGCCATTATTTCTGCACTGTAGTCATGCATCAAATCCAATGTAATTTCCTAGTAATAAAGACTAAATCTTACTTAATCACTTTAATATTACTTGTGTTACGTCTTTCAGCTTAAACTAGTGTCTTTTCTACAGTACCGGGAAATGAAGAGGGTTTGACCTACCTGCCCTCCGAGCAGCTTCATCAGCGGCTGGAGCTCACTGAACAGATCATAGCCTTGATGGAAGAACGTCAGGTGGGCGTACATGAAGGACAACATCTAGAGGGGCCATTATGGAAGGTTTATATGAGAATATGCCTTTATTAATCATCTCAACACAAAACAATAAGAGGTGTGGGAAAGATATACTTGCCGATTTCAGAATTTCTGACCGTCTCTTGGACTGAAGAACATTGATCTGTAGGGGAGGAGGAAGTGGGTTATAAGTGTGAAGACAGCGGCTACAGTGGAACTTTGCTAAGCAGAAACTGATCACAGATCACTGGAGCTTCAAAACTGAAAGCGTTTATGTCCGTCATGTGAGCGGAGGGGAAAACTCAAATTTGAAATAACGTGGTCAGACATGACGACATGCATCCAAGCTAGAAAAGGAAAGCGCCAGATTACAGGGGCAGAGGGATAAATCCACCTCAAATCAACTAAATGCTGACAACATAAGATTTGCTTAAAGGGCCAATGCCCCATATTTTTCTTCCATTTGTAGCATTTGTGTAGTTTATGTCTTAATTTTTACATTATAATTTTCCAACCTCTCTTCATCCTTTAGAACCCAACAGGCTGTTTTTGCTGCTTTGCCTTTGCATTGATACACTGATCAGGCACAACATTATAATCACATCCTTGTTTCTACGCTCATTGTCCATTTGATCAGCTCCACTGCTGGGGCTTTTAAACACCTCAGTGTCACTGCTGGACTGAGAATAGCCCACCAACCAAAAATATCCAGCCAACAGCGTCCTGTGGGCAGCATCCTGTGACCACTGATGAAGGACTAGAGGATGACCAACACAAACTGTGCAGCAGCAGATGAGCTATCGTCTCTGACTTTACATCGACAAGGTAGGAGTGTCTAATAGAGTGGACAGTGAGTGGACACAGTGTTTAAAAACTCCAGCAGCACTGCTGAGTCTGATCCACTCAGACCGACACAACACACACTAACACACCACCACCACGTCAGTGTCACTGCAGTGCTGAGAATGATCCACCACCCAAATAGTACCTGCTCTGTGAGGGTCCATGGGAGTCCTGACCACTGAAGAACAGGGTAAAAGGGGGCTAACAAAGTATCAGAGAAACAGATGGACTACAGTCTGTAACTGTAGAACTACAAAGTGCTCCTATATAGTAAGTGGAGCTGATAAAATGGACAATGAGCGCAGAAACAAGGAGATGGTCATAATGATCGGTGTGTATATGTTAACAAGCTCTGTTGTGATTGGCTGCCTAAATTGTGCCTAATTCTTAAAAGCAGACTGGGCTGAAACGCTCCTTATAACCTCAGCGTGAACGGGCAGAGTTAAAGTGCTGTACGCAGCTGTAGGTAAGTGTAAATGTGTGTTTTGTTTATGACATCACAAAAATGATGAATTCAATACAGGCTGTTTCACAGCAGAGTCTCCATATATGCACTGTATGGAGTGGAGAGTGAACAGTACATTTTGACTGTGATGATTGTAACAGTGTTTATATACTACACTAAACTCTTTCATTGACAAAAAGTAAGAAAAAATGTTTTTCTGTGAGATGAGCCCTTAAAACCTTTCAGGAAATAATGTCTTATAGCATGAAGTGTATCAATATTTTTTCATTTCCATTTTGACTATTTCATAAATATAGTTTGGCCCAAGACACAGACTTTTCAAAACATGTATTAATCAAAATGTGTTCACTTCAATGGTATAAATATTTTATGGTATACTTTGTCAGACATGCGTCTTTTAAAAAGCAATAAGACTTTATAACTTTAAGATTAATACCTGTTATATTACTCTTATATTACTATTATTATACTTTTTGGAATTACACTTTTATTCTGGATTTTAATATGCCAAACATGCATCTCTGTAATCGTAAATCAAAGAACATTCCATAAAAAACGCAGCTGCCATCAAAAACAAATACTAAATTAAATATAGCACTTATTTTATGGGGAATAAAAGGCCAAGCCTCATATTCTAAAAGCTTCTATATCTCCAAACTGTTCTATTTAGCAAGATAACTTCATTTCCTGAGAGTATTAATGGGCCCACAATCTGGAAAAACTATTTCCTCAGTTTTCCTCAGAAGCAGTATGTAAACACTGAGAACACATCATTCACTTTCATTCCATAGAGTCCATATATGGAAACCTCAGCTGTAAAACAGCCCCTTTTAAATACTTTGCTTTGGTGATGTCACAAAAACCCAATGCATGGACATATATCTGTCTATTCAGCCTACAGCATGCTGCTTATTAGCCCTGCCCACATTGAAGTTATAAGGAGCGTTTCAGCTTTTTCAATGAGCAAAATAACAAGCCAATCAAAACAGAGCTCATTTACATATATCTGTCTTAAAGGCATAGCAACCAAAAACAGGCTGTTTAATTCTATGGCATAAAGAAAGGTTGGAAAATGGCCATGTATAAATAACTAATGACTGATTTTAACACATGACAACATACAGATAGAAGCAGAACTCCTAATTAATAATTTAAAAAAATTGAAAATGTCGGATACGGGCCCTTTAACTAAACCTGAGCTGGTCAGTCAGGAGGCCTTCAGTGATTTCACATAGATAAACCCAGAAACCAGTCTGCACTGACCACATCATCAATACCCTTTTTCTAAACCACAACAGAAAGTTAAGTTTTCTGTTCGAAGTATATGTTGTTCTCTTGTGCAGCCACCAGGGGGAGTATGTCAGTCTAACTGCAGTACTGAAGCTGTGCACTCTCAGCAGCAGATGAGTGGAGATGAGCAGCTCTCCTGACAGAGCATCGCTAATTAACTCTGCAGGCTGTTCCACACCATTTGAGCGTCAGGTCAACACAAGGCAATTACATAAAATAGCCACGAGTTACAGATGATTATATAAAATGACCACTACATACTACACCACTGCCGTCAGAACAAACCGTTTAATTACATTTTTACAGTTTAATTTGAAAAAGCCAGCTGCCCTTTTGTACTGTGTTATCATTTTGTGATGAATCTACCCATAGAAATGATCCAAACGGACTTAAGCTTATTTAAAATAATTAACTTAATTAATTTAATCAAAATGAATTAAGTCTTAATCACATTATTGACAAAGTCTGGTTCCGGACGCCTCCAGACATCTCACAGATTTATAGAAGTCCATCAGCAGCATCTGATTTAACATAATGAACTACTGGTCAGTCACACCAGGTACTGGATGATAACTACAAACAGCACTGGGCTGCTGCGAGGAGCAGTTTGGAAATGGTTAAATGAAAACACTGACATACATGAAATCACTACTGACTGTATTAATGTTATTTGTAATACATTTTATTGTTATATCCAATACATATTGTAGTGTTTATCTGAGCAAATAAATGCTTAGTGCCAAGACAAACAGCTGGTTAACTGGAATTTTCTCACGTATATACAACATATACGATCACTAAAAGAGAAGTCGTGTACGCGTCGGAGATGATCATTGTGTAATATATAGCTGTTAACTCTTCTGAGTCAACCAGTCGTGATGCATTGCACAATACGGCGGAGCACATGGGTGGACACCGCAGACTGGAGTCTGTGAATACTGAATACTATGCACATCGCAGCAAAGCGAGTAATTATATCTGAAACTTTCTACTAAGGCAGGATGGAACAAGATGTTCATATTAGATCAACTGGGTTTTAGAAATGTTCAATATAATATTATATATTATATATATTAATATTATATATATATATATATATATATATATATATATATATATATATATATATATATATATATAAACTTTAGTTGCATATTAAAGTAATATAAATCCAATATTTTCTCCTTTATGGATTTAAAATGGCAATGACTTTGGCCAACAGAAAGGTGCTAGTATGGTTCGTGTGTTCGTTTAGCCCACTATGACTAATAAAGATCGAAAAATCGGCCAGTTGGGCTGCAAAGAATTCAAAATAATGAAGAGTATGAAAACTATGAAATGATACTCAAGGAATTATACAGTAACAAAAGTCCAAAACAGACAGAAACTGCATAAAACTTGGATTTTGTCCGTATTTCTGTCCATGTTTATAGATAACAGTGTGTTACAGTGTCAGAAAGTCTATTAGAGATTGCTGAAGCAAGTATGTGAGTGTGAAGTTTATGCATGCAGTTAGCACCATGCTAATTGGTGGGGTATAAGCTTCCGTTAGTTCGCTACAGTAGCCTTGTAGCTCGTGTGAAACCATAAAAGCCAACTTCAGACACCTCATCTTGGCTAATCGACTATTTTTGCTACAAAAAAAAGAATTCAAAATAATGAAGAGCATCAAAACTATGAAATGATACACAAGGAATTGTACAGTAACAACCATTCACCAATAGAAAGTGACTCTCTTGAGCAGCTGCACATGAGCCTAAGGTCACCATGCTCAAAGCCAAGAGTGGGAAAGAGGAGTATGAAGCCCCCCAGCATCGGGCTGTGGAGCAGTGGAGCTGTTTTCTCTGGAGTGATGGAGCTCCAATACCTTTGGGATGAGTTGGAGTGATCCAGAACTGACCATCCAACATCAATACCTGACCTCACTAGTGCTCAATCAAATCCTCACAGCAATGTTCAACATCTAGTGTAAAACCTTCCTAGAAGAGTAGAGGCTGTTACTGCAGCACAGACTCACTATTAACACCCTGCACTTCAGAAGAAACGCTGGACAGTCTACAAACCTCTGGATGTATACTGGTGTACATCACTGTAATGTTCAGTCCCAATGCAGCCCATCTCAAACATATCTGTCCGGCTAAATAAGCCAGGTTTGCTTCAGAGCGCTCACCTGGAGAACATAGTCCAGGACGATGTGACGGAAGCACTTGCGTGTTGCGGTGAGGATATAGGTGGCCTCCTCCACTTCGTGCTGCTTGTTCCGTGGTGCCTGAGCATTCCTGATCAGCGCAGCTTCCTTCTCCTCACTCACTTTATCAAACTGCTTCTTCGCCTCCTTAAACTTCCGCAGGTCCCTGTGGGTCACAGAAAACACCACAGCTGCTAAACAAAGCCTGCATCACTAAACCAAAGCAACACAAGCCACAGATGAAAAGGTCATGCAGCCCTGTATGCATAAATTAGCATAGCAAAACTTATATTACTGAATTAAAGTGATATTTTTGTAAAATATAGAAACTTTTTTCCACCCTTACCCCAGATGGAGCTGAGCTAGCAGAGTTGCATCAGCAGTCATAGTTTGTGACTTAAAGAATGTTATGGTTTTGAAATTTTAAGCATTTTAAAGTACTTTAAGTAGTTTGTGGGACTCCAAAATAGACAGAAACTGCATAAAACTGTTCGTTTAGCCCACTATGACTAATAAAGATTGAAAAATCGGCCAAAGTATTTAAAAATAATGAAGAGTATCAAAACTATGAAATGATACTCAAGGAATTATACAGCAACAAAAGTCCAAAACAGACAGAAACTGCATAAAACTTGGATTTTGTCTGTATTTTTGTCCATGTTTATAGATAACAGTGTGTAATAGTGTCAGAAAGTCTATTAGAGATTACTAAACATATCTACAGTTTGAAGCTAATGGCATATAATGCTATTTGTATTTGTGATTTTGACGAACAGAAATGTGCTAGTATGGTTCGTGTGTTCGTTTAGCCCACTAAGACTGATAAAGATCGAAAAATTGGCCAATTTGGCTGCAAAGTATTCAAAATTATGAAGAGTATCAAAATTATGAAATGATACTCAAGGAATTATACAGCAACAAAAGTATTAAACAGACAGAAACTGCATAAAACTTGGACTTTGTCTGTATTTCTGTCCGTGTTTATAGATAACAGTGTGTTACAGTGTCAGAAAGTCTATTAGAGATTGCTGAAGCAAGTATGTGACAGTTTATGCATGCAGTTAGCACCATGCTAATTGGTGGGGTATAAGCTTCCATTAGTTCGCTACAGTAGCCTTGTAGCTCCAGTGTGAAAACATGCCAACTTCAGACACCTCATCTTGGCTGAACGACCACATTTGGGGTAAGAGGGAGGCTTTAAATGTGACTTTTCCCTAAAATATTCCTTCAAGTTTTAATTACTGCGATATTTATTTCCATAATTTGCTAGGTGGAGTGCAAGTGCAACAACTCTCATGTTTCGGCTTACTTACTCTTTCACAAACGTCTGGAGCTGCGACTTTATTGACCGCTGTGCTTGGTCAAATAAAATCTGCAAATGGAAAGAATTAGGTCAGAGCAGCTGGCGCTTCTGTCCCACACGACAAGTAAACAACATTTACAACGACTGAATCAGTGCAAGAGGGTCATGTCCAGAGTTAATCTGGGAATAAGTGATGCCCGTGTTGGTCAAAGAACTATGTGAGGAATGTGTGTTTGTTCAGTGTTTTAACCCAATAAGAGAGTGTGTGTGTGTGTGTGTGTGTGTGTGTGTGTGTGTGTGTGTGTGTGTGTGTATGATATACCACACTCTGCACTTTAAGATCATGTGCTCTGCTCCACTCAATGAGGACTTTAACCGCAGGTCAGCTGATTCTACTGCAGATCTGAACTCTGACTCACTGCTTTCCAGAGCAAACTCTGCTCTCTGCACACGCACAGCTGCTCCTATAGCTCGTCAGGACGCGGGTGGCAAACATACGTCCCATATGTATTACATACATACAGTACAAGTACTTACGTGTACTGATATACTCCATGTGTATTATTTGTGTAATTATCTATAAGCAATAATAATATGTCTCATATGTATATATGTATATATATATCGCTGTTGTCGGAACAAAACCTTGTATCTCCAAAATGGTAACTTTACAGGAAAAGGAAAAAACCTGCTTTACTTTCAATGGAAGTCAATGGAACCAGAATTTTTTCCAAGTCATTTTGAGTCGCTTCTTTTAGTTCATTCATCAAGAAATTTACGAACAATGTAAAGGACAAGTATTTTTAAATTATGTCAAACTGAAAAACATCAAAAATGGAGATAAAAGGTTTTCTTCTGACAACAGCGACATACAAGTACTTATATGTAACCATATAGGTTATTTGTATTATTATATATGCAAGTAAATATACATACTGATATACCCTATATTTATTTTTATATGTGTAAGCATCTATACACAATAATATGTCCCATGTGTACTGTATATATGCAAAAACGTACATGTAACAATGTCCTATATGCATTATTATATGTCTATATATTATAATATGCCATATTCTATTACACATATATGTATGTGCATGTAATAATAATAGTAATAATAATAATAATATGTAATCATCTAAATGTACTAATAATGTCCCATGTGTGTTATATATTATGAAAGTCACATTTTATCTCTCTCACTCTCTCTCACTCTTTCAGTCTCACTCTCTCCCACCCTCTCTGTCTCACTCTCACTGTCTCACACTCTCTTTCTCTCATTCTCACTCTCATTCTATCTCTCACTCTCCCTCGTTCGCACTCTCACTCTATCTCACTCTCTCACCCTCTCTCACCCCCACTCTCTCACACTCTCTCACACTCTCTCACCCACTTTCACCCACTCTCACCCACTCTCACCCACTCTCTCACCCACTCTCTCACCCACTCTCACCCACTCTCACCCACTCAGTGTGGTTCTCTTACTGTATGGTAGTTGATCATTTCCTGTAGACTCTCTGCAAACTTGGTCAGACTGGACTGTAGAGAGACAAACACAAACACACACGCGTTAGGATCCACACAAACAGTGCTACAACACAATAAACACTGCCTGTCCAACATCTGGTGACACCCAGCTAAATGAAACACCTGACAAAGCCCTATCTTGAGATTTTTATCTCCTTTTTTAGGAAACTGCATCCCTTTGTTGTGATGTCAGCACTCTTCAGCACTCAAACCAAACACCAAATAAAACTATGTTTTGGTCAATCGAGTCGTGTATTCAGCGTTATTTGGCTGCTCAGCCTGCCCAAAACTGAATCCACCCAAAGGGTCAGCATATAAACAGCTGCATGCAGAGGTTTGAACACCCCCAGACAAAAGATATGTTTTGTTGAGTTTCTAAGTGAAAATATGTTAAAATATGTCTCTAAAGGGAGCAAACTGAAATACGGCAATTTATGAAGATTTTGTGCAATTTCTATTTATTTGCCTAGACAAACCTTTTATCTCCATTTTTGACCTTTTTCAGTTTTTGACATAATTTGAAAATGCATGTTGCCCTTTATATTGTGTGTGAATTTCATGATGAATGAACCAAAAGAAACGGCCCAAAATTACTCTGAAAAACGTCTGGTTCCATTGACTTACATTAAAAGTAGAGTAGGTTTTTTCCTTCTCCTGTAAAGTTATCATTTTGGAGGTTTTCTTCCAACTATATCTCACTTGTAGCTTATATAGTTCTAAGCTACCAATTTTATCTATATCACACTATAATAGCAAAAATAAAACATTACTGAGAACGTAGTAAGAACGTAAACAGAAGGTTAGCTGTCCCCAAACTTTTGACAGGCAGCGTATCACAGCCAGGAGTGACCTAACAGACCAGCAGACAGCAGCGGAAAACAGTACTGAATCATAAAGGCCTTGAATTCTTGTAGCAGACGTACAGGGAAAGGCTCTGCTGGTTTACATAGCTCACTTACAATGGATCACAGTCACAATGGAGCTTTCACAGCAAAGGCATTCTTTCTGAACGCAACATCTCAGGGGAGAAGCAGTCAAGGAAATACGCAGACGGGAATGCTGGAGGCAGCTGTGTGAGAATCTCAAATACAAACACCAAACATCTCCTCACAGCAGGAGGCTGGAACACAGAGCTGCACAGTACGGAGCAAATTCAACAGCAGATTGAGATGATACTGCTACAGACTGCTATTACAATAACTCATTAAAGAATCCTCGAGGAAGTTAAAGGCTGACCTACATTATTTTTGAACAAAATTATTTATGCTGATGGAGCAGGTGACTGCCCTGATTCATCAAAACACACAGTAAAACACTGTGACTGGTTAGATGGCTTATTTGTATACAGTGGTGGACAGTAACGAAGTAAATGTAATTCGTTTCTGTACTTTCTGTTTTTTCCTGTATCTGTACTTTACTGAAGTTTTTCCATTTTGGGTGACTTTTTACTTTTACTCCACTACATTTCAAACTCAGACATCTCACTTTTTACTCCACTACATTATGAGAAATCTGTCGCTCCTTTTGGTTTATGTGTGTATAAAAACGTAACATGTCAAAACAAAAGAAGAGCAAAGCAAGAACACCAATCAGGGCACAGCGGTCACTTTGTTTTGAGCTTGTTTTGACCTGTTGGTCATACCGACCCAGTGCAGCACACAGTTCAACATCAGTGCAGCAGAGTAAAATGTTGGGAGAGTCTATTCAACATAAATGATGAACTAACCTAACTTTGTGTAAACAGACCACAATATAGAAATATGTAGACATATGCAGTTGTGACTGACGTGTCTTTTTCTGAATTTATATAAACACAATTTCATTTTATAGTAAAAACGCACTTCGTCATATTCTTCATAACTTTCATATTACATAAGCTACATTCTAAAGGTGGGGGTCGTATGAGAGCTGTAACTGTCTTCTTTCCAGTCAAATAGATGGGTGATGTAATTTTAAACCCTTAAAAGAAGCTGAACTCTCAATTTTCTTTTTTCTACTGAAAGTCGACCCATTTTTCCACAAATCTGGGCTATAAACTATAAACAGATGGCGTCTCTTCAGTGACCTGCACTGTACAAATTATTTTTATAAAATAATACAAAGAGCGTCTAAGATTTTTGGCTTTCAGCAGTAAATTGTAAGCATATAGCAATATGTGTGATCATAAAACACGTTCTGTTAATTTGAGGGGAGCTTTTACAAAAAATAAATAAATACATAAAATAAAAAATTTACATTTATTTCACGCAGTAACTGATAAACCCTTTAAACAGCTTGCTAAAAATATTAAATATTAAAATGTATTTTAATATCCTTCAATAAACTTGGAAATATTATACACTTTTTTTTTTTTAATATGTAAAGCACATGAACATGGTGTTGGAGCTCCCATCTACTTTACTCCGATCTAAGAAATCAGAGTGTGCTGTTTACATGACCATTAGAATAATCACTGTATGATAATAACTATAGAAATCATATACTGATCAGATTACTGAGTGCATGTAAAAGCACTCAATGTCATAGCGATGTTGCTATTTTTCTTCAAAAAGTGTAAACTTTGTTTAACAGTTTTTGTGTTATTGTCTCAAAATCAAATAATATCAGTAATGAAACTGTGGTATAACCACAATATTAATCGGTAATAATAATTATCACATAATTGCAGCCTTCTGCTATACCAGCATTGCAGCGGCTAATACTGCACTAACACTTAACCTCTAATTGACCAGGGTATATTTTGGTTTTTCCATCTGAATTTACATGACCAAATCATAAGGCAAATTATTCAGTAACTTCATGAAATTAATGTAAATTTTTATTTTACTTATTTATTTTTTGTAAAAGCTCCCCTCAAATTAACAGAACATGTGTTTTATGATCACACATATCGCTATATACTTACAGTTCACTGCTGAAAGCCAAAAATCTTAGGTGCTCTTTGTATTATTTCATAAAAATAATTTTTACAGTACAGATCACTGAAGAGACGCCATCTGTTTATAGTTTATAGCCCAGATTTGTGGAAAAATGGGTCGACTTTCAGTAGAAAAAAAAACTGAGTTCAGCTTCTTTTATTATAAGGGTTTAAAGCTACATCACCCATCTATTTGACTGGAAAGAAGACAGTTACAGCTCTCACACGACCCCCACCTTTAGAATGTAGCTTATGAAATATGAAAGTTATGAAGAATATGACGAAGTGCGTTTTGGAACCACCGGTGGTCTCAAGCAGTTGAAGAGGTTAAAAAGCGATGTATTGTGCAGCACTGCTGGAAAACTCACTCCCCAGAAATGCCGCTGTGTCAGTGATAAGCAACATTCTTTATTCTGCACTCTTCATCATTATCACTTCTGCAAGGTCACTCACCTCAACGACCTCATCTTTGACCGACTGTTGCGCTAACTCCCGGATGCCGTTCACAAACTGCCTGTTTGCGGTGTTGTAGGCCTTTCCAGCGTCGATCATTCCAATGCACAGCTTCACCAGCTGCACCACACAAGAAGAGGATGAGTAACATGTAGTGCTGGACAATGTATTATCTACAAGGAACTGGCATCAAAAAACAACATTAAATTTTAGTTTTAGTGGTTTTGATAAACATAAAAACAAAATATAATACGCTTGTGGAGATTATGATGTGCTTTCTGTCTCGTTAATATTTATTATTATTTACTGTGTAAGGTTCCCTTTAGCGTTGTTTTAAGGGAAGAAAAAATAGTCCAGTTAAAACAAGTCTGTCAAGTTCGCAAGACATTTTTCCATGTACTCTCTTAAAGATGGTTCTTTAGTAAAGAAAACTGTTCTATATACAACCATAAACACCCAATGAAAAGGTTTAAAAGGTTTAAAGGTTCCCGAAAAGGTTCTTCAGAGAGACAGAGAATGTGCTATAGATGGTTCTACATAAAACCTTTTTGAAAATGGTTCAGTATAGCACCGAAACGGGTTATTTTATTGTTACCATGAGCAGAACGTTTTTTTTGGTGCTATATAGAACCATTTTGAAAAAGGTTTTATATAGAACCCTCGATAGCATAGTCGCTCTGGAGATGAAGATGGTTCTTCAAGGGTTCTTCTGTAAAGAAAATGGTCCTATAGGACCATTTACAACACATTCTCTATCAATCTGAAAAAACCTTTTAATCATTCAAGGGGTTCTTTAGTAAAGAAAATGGTTCTATATAGAACCATGAACCCTCAAAAAAACTTTAAGATTAAAGGGTTCTTTGCATCATGAAAAGGTGATTCAAAAAGGTTCCATACAGAACCATCTACAGCTCGGTCGCCATCCATCTGAAGAACATTTTCATGATGCAAAGAACCCTGAAAAAAACCTTTTGCATGATTAAAGGGTTCTTTGCATCATGAAAAGGTTCTTCAGATGGATGGCGACCGAGCTGTAGATGGTTCTATATGGAACCTTTTTGAAAAGGGTTCTTCTATTGTTACGATACAAGTTTGTTACAGTAGAAGAACCCTTTTTGGTGCTATATAGAACGCTTTCACGATGCAAAGAACCCTTTAATCATGCAAAAGGTATTTTGAGCGTTCATGGTTCTATATAGGACCATTATCTTTACAGAAGAACCCTTGAAGAACCATCTTTTTTAAGGGTGTAGTATATGAACTCAGCCTCTGACCAAACATGCTTTGAACTACTTGTTTTGTTATTAACGGTGGATTTTTGTGAATGTGTGAAAACCAGTCTGGGTCCAGTTTCTTAACTGGTAGAGAGAGTGTTCAGTGTGATGCTCGCTCTACCGTTTAAGAATCATCTTTGTGCTGAGATGCTTTTGGGGAAATCCAGCCCAAGTGGTTTGTTAAAATAGGAAAAAAATAAAGAAAAAACTTCAAGGCAAGTGGCCACTCGAGCCACAGGCTCTGTATTTTTAAAAATGCGAAGTTTTGTGGCCGGGGCGTCGGGCAGTAGGCGATGTCAACTCATGCTCGTAGCTCCAGCCCAAAAAACTAAAGAACCAAATTTCATACACCAAATCTGTCCTGGCTGACGCCTACATTTGGCTTAAGGGGGAAACTGTATATTTGTAAAATTTTATCAGTAAAAAATCAGCAGTCTTGTGTGATCAAACACTAAATTTAGAATAAGATACACTTTCAAACAACTGAAAGCTTCAGACACCAAACGACTGCCTACAATGACTGACTTACAATGACTACAGTCACTGCCACAATCACTGACTTACAATGACTACAGTCACTGCCCACAATCACTGCCTACAACGACTGCATACAGTCACTGCCCACAATCACTGCCTACAACGACTGACTTACAATGACTACAGTCACTGCCTACAATCACTGCCTACAACGACTGCATACAGTCACTGCCCACTATCACTGCCTACAACGACTGCATACAGTCACTGTCCACAATCACTGCCTACAACGACTGCATACAGTCACTGCCCACAATCACTGCCTACAACGACTGCATACAGTCACTGCCCACAATCACTGCCTACAACGACTGCATACAGTCACTGTCCACAATCACTGCCTACAACGACTGCATACAGTCACTGCCCACAATCACTGCCTACAACGACTGACTTACAATGACTACAGTCACCGCCTACAATCACTGCCTACAACGACTGCATACAGTCACTGCCCACTATCACTGCCTACAACGACTGCATACAGTCACTGTCCACAATCACTGCCTACAACGACTGCATACAGTCATTGCCCACAATCACTGCCTACAACGACTGCATACAGTCACTGCCACAATCACTGCCTACAGTCACTGCCCACAATCACTGCCTACAACGACTGCATACAGTCACTGCCCACAATCACTGCATACAGTCACTGCCCACAATCACTGCCTACAATGACTGCCTGCAGTCACTGCCCACAATCACTGCCTACAACGACTGCATACAGTCACTGCCCACAATCACTGCCTACAATGACTGCCTGCAGTCACTGCCCACAATCACTGCCTACAACGACTGCCTACAGTCACTGCCTACAACGACTGCCTACAATGACTGACTTACAATGACTACAGTCACTGCCCACAATCAATGCCTACAACAACTGCCTACAACGACTGCCCACAATGACTACAATCACTGCCTACAGTTACTGCCCACAGTCTCTGCCAACAATGACTGCCTACAATCACTGCCTACAATCACTGCCTTACAATGACTGCCTACAAAGACTGACTACAGTCACTGCCTACAATGACTGACTACAGTCACTGCCTAGTCACTGCCTACAAGGACTGACTAGTCACTGCCTACAATGACTGACTAGACACTGCCAACAGTCACTGCCTACAATGACTGTTTACAATGACTGACTACAGTCACTGCCTACAATGACTGACTACAGTCACTGCCTACAATGACTGATTACAGTCACTGCCTACAATGACTGATTACAGTCACTGCCTACAAGGACTGATTAGTCACAGACTAGTCACTGCTTACAATGACTGACTACAGTCACTGCCTACAATGACTGACTAGTCACAGACTAGTCACTGCTTACAATGACTGCTTACAATGACTGACTAGTCACAGACTAGTCACTGCTTACAATGACTGACTACAATCACTGCCTACAATGACTGCCAACAGTCACTGTCTACAATGACTGCCAACAGTCACTGTCTACAATGACTGACTAGTCACAGACTAGTCACTGCTTACAAAGACTGACTACAGTCACTGCCTACAATGACTGACTAGTCACAGACTAGTCACTGCCTACAACGACTGCATACAGTCACTGCCCACAATCACTGCCTACAACGACTGCCTACAGTCACTGCCCACAATCACTGCCTACAACGACTGCATACAGTCACTGCCCACAATCACTGCCTACAACGACTGCCTGCAGTCACTGCCCACAATCACTGCCTACAACGACTGCCTACAGTCACTGCCTACAACGACTGCCTACAATGACTGACTTACAATGACTACAGTCACTGCCTACAGTCACTGCCCACAATCACTGCCTACAACAACTGCCTACAACGACTGCCCACAATGACTACAGTCACTGCCTACAATCACTGACTACAATCACTACCTACAATGACTGACTAGTCACTGCCTACAATGACTGACTAGTCACTGCCTATAATGACTGACTAGTCACTGCCTATAATGACTGACTAGTCACTGCCTACAATGACTGACTACAGTCACTGCCTACAATGACTGACTAGACACTGCCAATAGTCACTGCCTACAATGACTGTTTACAATGACTGACTACAGTCACTGCCTACAATGACTGATTACAGTCACTGCCTACAAGGACTGATTACAGTCACTGCCTACAAGGACTGACTAGTCACAGACTAGTCACTGCTTACAATGACTGACTACAGTCACTGCCTACAATGACTGACTACAGTCACTGCCTACAAGGACTGATTACAGTCACTGCCTACAATGACTGACTACAGTGACTGCCTACAATGACTGACTACAGTCACTGCCTACAATGACTGACTAGTCACAGACTAGTCACTGCCTACAATGACTGACTAGTCACTGCCTAGTCACTGCCTACAATGACTGACTAGTCACTGCCTACAATGACTGACTACAGTCACTGCCTACAATGACTGACTAGTCACAGACTAGTCACTGCCTACAATGACTGACTAGTCACTGCCTACAATGACTGACTACAGTCACTGCCTACAATGACTGACTAGACACTGCCAACAGTCACTGCCTACAATGACTGTTTACAATGACTGACTACAGTCACTGCCTACAATGACTGATTACAGTCACTGCCTACAAGGACTGATTACAGTCACTGCCTACAAGGACTGACTAGTCACAGACTAGTCACTGCTTACAATGACTGACTACAGTCACTGCCTACAATGACTGACTACAGTCACTGCCTACAAGGACTGATTACAGTCACTGCCTACAATGACTGACTACAGTGACTGCCTACAATGACTGACTACAGTCACTGCCTACAATGACTGACTACAGTCACTGCCTACAATGACTGCCAACAGTCACTGCCTACAATGACTGCCAACAGTCACTGCCTACAATGACTGACAACAGTCACTGCCTACAATGACTGACTAGTCACAGACTAGTCACTGCCTACAATGACTGACTACAGTCACTGCCTACAATGGCTGACTACAGTCACTGCCTATAATGACTGACAACAGTCACTGCCTATAATGACTGACTAGTCACAGACTAGTCACTGCCTACAATGACTGACTACAGTCACTGCCTACAATGACTGATTACAGTCACTGCCAACAATGACTGACTAGTCACAGACAGTCACTGCCTACAATGACTGACTACAGTCACTGCCTACAATGACTGCCAACAGTCACTGCCTACAATGACTGATTAGTCACAGACTAGTCACTGCCTACAATGACTGACTACAGTCACTGCTTACAATGACTGATTACAGTCACTGCCAACAATGACTGACTAGTCACAGACAGTCACTGCCTACAATGACTGACTACAGTCACTGCCTACAATGACTGCCAACAGTCACTGCCTACAATGACTGACTAGTCACAGACTAGTCACTGCTTACAATGACTGACTACAGTCACTGCTTACAATGACTGACTACAGTCACTGCTTACAATGACTGACTACAGTCACTGCTTACAATGACTGACTACAGTCACTGCCTACAATGACTGACTACAATGACTGCTTACAATCACTGACTATGGTCAAGGTTAATGACTGACTACAACGGGTTAAAGGGGGAAAAGTGTCTAATTCTGCTACTCTAAGTCTTGAGTAGCTGTTGCTCTGAGAGGGTTTTATGTGGCTCCGCAGGGCTGGTGCTCTGTCTGCAGCAGTCTGTGTGGGGGATGAGTTGAACTTTCTGAGAGAAGTCGCTGCTGAACTCCTGAAGGCCAGAGAGAATATCCTTCCGTAGCGTGAGAGGGAAGTGACACCAGTGTGGCGTGAGTCACTCAGGGTGGGACTCAAAATACTCCAAACAATGCCCTGGAGTTTTTCATGAGGCAGGATTTCTCAGTAAAGCTGGTTAAATGCAGCCTAAAGTGCGGACTGTCCCATAAGAATCCCCCTTACCTCTTCTTCCTTGACCTCAGGCTTAGGTTTTCTAGCTAATTAAGGAAATCCTGCTTTACTCTCTCTCTCTCTCTCACTTCTTTCTCTGTCTCTCTCTCACTTTCTCCTATCTCCCTCTCTGCCTTGTAGCTGCACGTATTGGCCATTTTATCAGAAACTCCTACCATATAGGTGCTATTTGTACATTGACAGTTACAGACTGTAGCCCATCTGTTACTGCACAATTTAACAGCCCACCACTCCTTTCATCAACAAAAAGGGACCACCATAAGACCACCGCTGAGCAAATAAATATAACGAGTAAATGTGTGTAGGAAGAGGTCTATGAATGTGTGGAGCAGGTTTAGTGGAAAGTGCATGGTCACGTTCCAGAGCCTACCTTATCCAGCTTGGACTCCAACTCACAAACATCTCCTTCCACTTCCTCAATGGTGGCTCTGTTAAAGAGAGGAAACAACACCAGATATTATTATCAGACTTCTTTGGAAGTAAAACACATTGAGCACAATTTTAAACGTCCCCCAACTAAGGCAGCGCAGTGTGATTATATGTGTATGTTTTTCAGTCCTGGTGGAAAAGCGTAGCAGGTGTCTCCCCATGAAGCCCACAGGAACAATTTGTGTCTGATACAGATTCAAATTTAAAAGGAAATTTCACAGATTTCTGCATAACTCAGTGTGTGAGATGTAAACAAAGTGATTCAGAGTGGTTTGGTGTGAAATGGTTCAGATGTCTTTACAGTGGTGGTGATAGGAACCAGGGGTCGCCATGACTACAACACAAATATAGACATTTTATTTACTATCCAGAACCACCAGTGAACCTACACGAGTCTTCTGAGTTTATATGGAATGTTGATGATGGTGAAAAAGTAGCTTTTGATTGGGGACTATTTTGCCCTGCATGTATCACCATGAACCATGTGTGTGTGTGTGTGTGTGTGTGTGTGTGTGTGTGTGTGTGTGTATATATATTATATTATACACATTAGTGCTACAATTTCATGATGTAGGACTAATATAATAACTCCGAAATTACTTGAAAAAAGTTCTGGTTCTATTAACTTCAATTCAAAGTTAAGTAAGTTTTTTTCTCTTGTAAAGTTACTATTTTGGATGTGTATATATATATATATATATATATATATGTATACATGTGCATGTGTGTGTGTGTGTGTGTGTGTGTGTGTGTGTTTTAGCCAAAATCTTCTCAAAACTATCATTACACAGCATCACAGACAGTGTATTCATAACCACAATACATACTAATATTACTATTAATTACGCACAAATTTAGAATAAATCAGAGGTATTCCCCTTTAAGGGGTAAAAAATACCAAAAACCGATAATATTGGCCAATATTTATATTTCATATATTAATTTCATACCCCAGTATTTTTAGTTAAACACCTACTAGGAATACTCGAAAAGAAAAATAGAAAAATAGGAAATACATAAATGATAAAATGTAAAAAAAAAAAAGATTGGAACATAAACTACGATTAGCAATATTAGGAAAAATAACATTTATTTCTGAAAGGTTACCAAAGCAGTAAAACGAATGAAATGCACATCATGTCTTCCTAAATAAAACCGCAAGTCATCAATACTGGCTGATATTATCTGCTAACTGATATATCGGTCAGCCTCTGTCCAAACTGGTGCTGCAGATTCAGTGAGACTGAAGTGTCTCAGAGAGTCCTGGCATGTTTAGTCAAAGCCAAAAGACACTCAAAAGCCAACGTGAGTGAACACAGACTGGCTGCCCGAGGCAGCACAGTACACGACACAGGGAAGCAGGAACGAAGGCGCAGTTACAGCAGCACCGACTGCACGGCAACAAACCTCTCACTCACTCTCCAACACATCAAAGAGCGCGTCCTGCGAACATCCTGCCAAGAGCCGTTTGTTTATACCATCTCCTTCCAAAAATGTCTTAATTAGGAAGAGAAAGCTGAGCGTGTCTGGGACAGAACACACCCACAGCAGCTGATCAGCACAGATAAACAGGATAAATAACTACCTTGCACATTTCAAGATGACGTCTGGAGCCAAATTTAGATATTTCCGTATAAAAAACAAAGCTACATTTAGCTATTTTCCTGAACTACGGACCATTTTTAAAATATTTTTCTGAGGTATGGAGTAATATTTAGCAATTTATCACAACTAGGAAGTAAAACTGTGATATTTATCTGAAGTGTGGAACAATATTTTGATATTCTCCTTAAGTACAAAGCAATATTTTGCTATTTTGCTGACATATGGAACAATATTTCACTATTTTTATTTACTATGGAACAATATTTTGCTTTTTGCAGAAGTATGGAGCAATATTTTGACACCATAACTGAGAAGAGTGTGTATTTTGCACATTAGTCACAGGAAATGTTGGTTAGGTTTCACACATTTGATTGAGCTTGTTTAATAGACTGCACATCATTTCATGAAGCAGGTGCAAATGCCACATGGCTCACAGCTGGCTGAGCAACTACACTCAGAGGACGACGAGGCTTCAGGCTGAAATGACCTGGAAAACATGGCTGGACGAAATACCACCGAAAACTGTCCGGAAACAGAGAGTCAGTCCAGTCAAGCCAACGTTTACTTATGGGAATAAGCAATAAAACTCTTAAAGGGCCCATATGCCACATTTTAGTACTGTAGTTTTCCCCTGAGGTCCAGTTATAGCACTGGTTTATGTACCAAAAAGCCATCATTCATATTTATAACTTTATATATACATATATACACACACACACACACACACACACACACACACATTATATATATAAATATATGTGTGTGTGTGCGTGTATATATATATATATCTCTGACTTTTGCTCAGTCCTGCATGTACATGTGCTGATTCTGATTGGCTGCGCTGTATTGTGCCCCATTTAGAAAGCAGTCAGTCAGTCAGTCAGGATGAACGGGAGGGGCTAAACTCCCGCAGATTGAATATTTTGTGACATTATATAAACAGTGAATTCAAAATAGGCCGTTTTTGCAGACGTATGGACCCGAAGTGTGAACAGCACATTGTTTAACATCAAACCACTTTTTTTTTTTGTTTTCTCAAAAATAGTAAGCGAAATTTGATTTTCAGTGATACGGGCCCTTTTAACTACGGCCTTACACTTCAGACTGCTTTGCTGCCTCAATCCAGTTTGAGGTTTTAAAGGTTTATTATTGGTTATCTGAATCTTTTAGATCAGGGGTCTTCAATTAAAATTCAGTAAGGTCCAGTTAAAGAAAACTTCCTCAAGCGAAGGTCCAGAACATCATAATGTCTAACTTGCATCATGACTCAGTGCCATATACTGTTTACTGAAGTAGCCTAGTAGGTATATCAACATCTTATACAGTCAACAACTGAATGTCAAATCAAATAAAGTACAATTCAGTAACATTTCAACAACATTTATTGTCAGTTTTCTCTTTTTAGAGCACGACGTGTGAAATAACTTCCCTCTGACTCACTTTCTTCTCCGACTGCTGTGTCTCGCCTTGTCCCTCCCCTGTGTGTGCGTCACTCACTCGAGTCTCAGTGCTCATCGTAATGCACAGATCTGATTGGCTGAGTAGCGTCACGTGTGATATTTACAACTCATGCGATTGGTCTGTGAGTCTCCCGGGCCACTAAACCGGCACCGTAATGACTAGAAATGTTACGCCGATTAAAATAGGACCACCCCGTCAAATTAAATAATTCTCCATAGTTTACCGCTTATAGGTCCAGGTCTGCATTGGACAGCATCTGGGTCTGGTCTCGGACCGCGGTCCGCCTATTAGTGACCTCTGTTTAAGATGCTTAAAATTGGTATCGGTCACAAAGCGTTAACACTGGTGAAGGCCTACACAGGACCGGATTCAGCATTCTGCCACTGATTTATAAAGACACGATGCAGATGTTTTTACCATCCTTAACTGCTGGATAAACAAGGGCTTTGCCAAAGTGCTGCAGCAGGAATAATCAATTCACCGTCCTGCTGGGATAGACTGCAGCTGTTTACACAGTGGCCAGTCAGCCACACACATTCTTCACCTAAATACCAGCGATTAGATAAAAAAAATAGAGATTAGATTTGATTCCGAACAGGTTTGCATTCAGGGGTCAGATGTAAATCTCTGCACTGTGCTCCTCCCCAAACGTTTCAAATATTCTGTCAGCACAGGAGCGTCAAAAAACGCTTTGCTGAACTCCAAAAGTGAAAGCTTATCTCGTTTGTTACGCACACTGCAGCGCCGCGTCTGATTACAGCACTGAAAAAGATGACGAAATCAGAGGCAGAGAGAGACCGAGGCGACTGCAGGGACAGTTAACCAGTAACAATAATAATAATCACAATAATAATAATATATGACTAATAATAAACCATTTCATGTAATCATAATTCTCATAACTGTGTATGACTAACATATTTTCCATTAATGCAATTAGACAGAGTGGAAGTAGATAACCTGTTACAGCCTCTCCGCAAAGCACGCTACACCTTGATGGTTCTTCCAGGGTTCTTTAATAAAGATAATTGTTCTATATACAACCATGAACACTCAAAGAACCCTTTGCACGCTTAAATGACTCCTTGCATCATGAAAGCGTTCTTCAGATTGATGGAGAACGTGCTGTAGATGGATCCATATAAATGCTTTTTGAAAAGGGTTCTATATAGCAACAAAAAGGGTTCTTCTAGTGTAACAAGCCTGACACTGTAACAATAAAAGAACCCTTTTTGGTGCTCTATAGAACCCTTTTCAAAAAGGTTTTATATAGAACCATTTTCTTACTAAAGGGCACTTGAAGAACCATCATTTTTAAGTGTGTATATACACCAATCAGGCACGCACTTACTAAAAACTCCAGCAGCACTGCTGAGTCTGATCTACTCGTACCAGCACAACACACACTAACACACCACCACCACGTCAGTGTTACTGCAGTGCTGAGAATGATCCACCACCCAAATAGTACCTGCTCTGTGAGGGTCCATGGGGGTCCTGAACACTGAAGAACTGTATCTGTGACCTATATTTACCAATATATTTACATATTCTGCTCATTGATGTTTTGCTCCACCCATTGATGGTGCAGTTCAAAGGAATGTTTCAACCTGGACTGCTTTCTGAACAAGACACAATACAAGGCAAACCAATCAGCACAGAGCTCATTTACATATATCAGTCTTAAAGGTGCAGTAACAAACAGAAAATGGTCACGTAAAAAGTATTTAGGGGACAAAAAAAAGATAAAAAAGATTAAAAATCACCCTTTAAATTGCAGCTGATTTTCTGGGTGTTGTAAAGAACTACAACACGATCGATGGTGAACTAATTTCAGTGTAATAGTGTTTCAGTGCCCCTAAATAAACACTCAGAACAAAAATCATGACATTTATTACGGTTCTAGCGAAGAGGAACCGTCTTACTCCTGAAC